AAAAGATGACAGCAAGGACAATAAACACAACGAGAAAAAAACAATCGACCAGTATTACAAGCTGGTTTGCAGGAAGGATATACACCTTTGCGTGAGGTAATCACGATTGTCATAACCTATGTAAATCTTGAAGGACAAAAGGAACTGGAACCATATTTCCGAGGTAGCAATCAGTTCACAGACTGTTTTCTTGAAGATGTCTATTTGGTTGAATAAATTGCAAAATCCTTGTTTAATTTTTTTTTCTTTTTAAGTTGAAAAGATTACTTTTAACGTGGAAGAAGTGCACAATGTAAATCAATCTATCTTCAATAATACTTAGATGCGGAGAATACTACACAAAGTACTTCCATATATATATATATATATATATATATATATATATATATATATATATATATATAATTTAAAGAAAAACAGACCATTTTTTTTTAAGGCGCTATTAGTTATAATTTATTTCACCAGAGATTTTTATTTTTCTCTGGATCTTCAGACTTCACTTTCAAAGACTTAACATAGAGCTCTCAGGATTTCATCCTCCTTCGGATTATCCATGCAGATTACCAAGATTTTCATTACTTATATATATATATATATATATTGAGAGAGGGAGAGAGAGAGAGGGACTTCATCGGAATGAAAACGATTTTAACCAGTTCGTTTTCTAGTTGAATAACTCAAAGTGTTTTTCAGTGTTTCTTACATAGTTTCAAGATGGCTAAATGTCTTCTCTGAAAGGCAGGAAGAAAGAAACTCAACTGGTTTAGGGTTCTTTCAGATATTAAATATTTTGTGGAATGGACAGTTATTTAATGCTGTTACTCGATTTTAACAATTTTGCTGTTACACCCAGTATATCAACGGAACGACCCTCAATCAATCATGTGAGACACCACCTCATTGATTTCCATCAGCATCGTTGATGTGAACTTTCGAGGAGAGTGACCCGTTGCACCTTTTTGGGTTAGTATTTTCCGCTGACATGAAGTGGAAACATTATATTGAATCTATTGCTAGATATGCTGCGAGGAAAGTTGTTTCTATATGTCGTGATAGAAAATTTCTCTCTCTAGACACTATCTAAAAAATTACCAGTCTACCATTCATTCATGCATTTAATATTACTGTCTGAGATGGTGCTCCTGCAAAACATTTAGAGAGTTTTAAATAAAATCCAAAGGAGAATATGCAATGTTTTTGGTCCTGACCTGGCATTTCAATCCCTTTCCCAACGCCGTAATATAGCTTCATTTTACCTATTTGTCATGGGTCCTTACCTATAACTACAGAATGAACTCTTCCTAACACTATGTATACTACGCCTCTCAAGAGAGAGGGACGAATCAAGCCGAGCTTCTCGACTTGACGGTCGAACTCTCTGCTTTTTGAGCAGAAAAGGAACGGACGAGGTTCCGCCGAAGGGCAGAATCTCGTTCGGGGTGAATGATACCCTGATCTCGTTTTTACGAGTCATACGGGCATATTTTTGGCTGAGCCTACGGGCTCAGGAAACCCACGATAAAAATGACCTTGTGTCGCATGCAACCCTCGTGGGGGGGTGGCTAGATACTGAATCAAGCCGAGCTTTTCGACTTGACGGTCGAACTCTCTGCTTTTGAGCAGAAAGGAACCCGGACGAGGCTCCGCCGAAGGGCAGAATCTCGTTCGGGGAAAATGACCAACCCGAACTCGTTTATACGGGTTATACGGGCATTTTTTGGCCGAGCCTACGGGCTCGGGAAACCCACGTAAATACTCGGCCCAGTGCCACATGCAACCCTCGTGGGTGGGTGGCTAGATACCGAATCAAGCCGAGCTTCTCGACTTGACTGTCGAACTCTCTGCCTCTGAGCAGAAAGGAACCCGGACGAGGTTCCGCCGAAGGGCAGAGTCTCGTTCGGGGAGAATGACCAACCCGATCCCGTTTATACGGGTTCTACGGGAATTTTTTAGCCGAGCCTACGGGCTCGGGAAACCCACGTTAAACTCGGCCTTGTGCCACATGCAACCCGCGTCGGGGGTGGCTAGATACCGAATCGAGCCGATCTTCTCGGCTTGATGGTCGAACTCTCTGCCTCTGAGCAGTGAGGAACCCGGACGCGGCTCCGGCGAAGGGCAGAGTCTCGTTCGGGGAGGTTGACCAACCCGATCCCGTTTATACAGGTTCTACGGGCATTTTTTGGTCGAGCCTACGGGATCGGAAAACCCACGTTAAACTCGGCCTTGTGCCACATGCAAACCTCGAATCAAGTCGAGCCGATAGTAGTTCACTCCAAACCAGACTGACTGTCATACTAACACCTTCCACATCTTGTATTATTATTTCGTGTAATATACTTTCGTTATTTCTACTCTTGTGTTCGTGTTGTTCTTCCTCGGTCCTAACCTGGATCATAACACTTTTCGATAAATACTTTTATGGCAATTGTTCTGACGTGCCTTCTTCTATGGTAACTAGACTTTATGAATGTAAGCGCAGCACTAGATTGGCGGCAAGGTC